TGCAAAAACCCTTTTCCAAAAGTCAGCGGTTTCGATTTTCATTTCTTTACAGTATATATAGAGTGACGCAAAATATACATATTTCATATGTATGTTGGTATTGCGTCACTTGGGGGACTGCCGTCCCCCGTGATAAAGTTGCCATGTAGATGATGAAAAATTTGCGAAACATTAAAAAATTAATTAATTTTTTTTTCTTTGATTTACAAATACTATCACATTTTCTGTATCATCTGGTTAAATCAGAATGAAAAAACTCGCATTCCTTATCATCTAAATCACGATTGGCATTTTGTCACTATTCAATAGGTTTTACATAGGAAGTTTATATGAATCGTTGCGGCGAAAGAGTAGCTCTTATTTTTCTCCAAATAATACTGCAACATAAAGTTTTTTATGAATAGTTTATTTGTTGTATTACAACAAATAAACCGTGTGAATTTTTCATCATCTACATGGCAACTTTATATGAAACCCTCGGAGACTCGGTATAGAGCACAAAAATTGTTTTCTCAATTCTCGAACACAGCTAAGTCGTCTATATCGTGTGTTGTGAACAGAACGTAAAACTTTGTCATCTCTGTCCCCCAAATCGTGCTTGGCAAATCTTTTTTTCATGCTGTCTCGCACTTCCTTGCATTCACACTTGTTTACAATCGACATTCTACTAACACACAACTCACACTTGTATTTTGCTGTGCAAAATTGCAAATGGCGCTTATTAACTTCGGCATCTTAATAGATAATAAACATACTACTACTCGCTATTAACATCGATCTTAATACTACTACTCATGTTATTATGCGTAGTATTATTGGTTGTTAATAGTTAATAAAGGATTTTCGTATTTAGTAATAAGATATGTTAATATTTTGATGTTAATAGGACAACATAACAATAGATTATGTAAAGATTACCTTTCCTTAAACTTTGTAATACTTAATCGTGAAAACTACGTTTCAAAAAAAAAAAAAAATAACAATCGATTTCGCACTAAAATCTTCAAAAATATCAATGATCACACCATACAAGGCTGATTTAATACTACCAATGTATTTATATGGATAGCGCTCGACTCTCGGTGACAATATGGCCGTCACAGTTTGGAAAAATCATAATGAATCGATCAAACTGCGTTAAACTGTTAAATTAAAACACTAGAAATAAATAGATTTTAATTTTTTACATTTTTGAAAATAACAAATCTTTTGTTTTTTCAATTTTGTGAGATTTTCTGTCCACAATATTCAAAAATATTAAATCAATAAAAATGAATTGGTTGACATAACCTCACTTTTGTGTCACAATCGTGATAAACCGATTAAATAATTATTAAAATAGTAGAAATAAAAATATTTTCATTTTTTACATTTTTAAAAATAAAAATTCTTTATTTTGTTTTGTAGTTTCCGGTAGTTTCGTGAGATTTACTGCACAATATTCAAAAATATTAAATTAATAAAAAATGAAGTGGTTGACATAACCTCAATTTCGTTTTAATAATTATTTGATCGGTTTATCACGATTGTGACACAAAAGTGAGGTTATGTCAACCAATTCATTTTTATTAATTTAATATTTTTGAATATTGTGGACAGAAAATCTCACAAAATAAAAAAAACAAAAGATTTTTTATTTTCAAAAATGTAAAAAATTAAAATCTATTTATTTCTACTGTTTCATTTTAACAGTTTAACGCAGTTTAATCGATTCATTATGATTTTTCCAAACTGTGACGGCCATATTGTCACAAACTCCGATTAGTACTCGGAATACGCATTAGAGGTGTTGTTAGTTACAAGGTTTATATAGGAAATCCTATACCATGATCGGGCTTCGTGTATTCTTAATAGGATTTCACAAATTTTACGCTAATTGTTATCAAATTACTATACTAATGATAAACGCGATACGATGAAATGTGACGATACGACGATTAAATTGATTTGACGATGGTTGCGATGTTCATAGTTAAATTCGATTCACTTCATGATCTACGGCAACGAATTTCTGGAGTTTTCTTGCATTTATGTGATGGTCTTCGGTGAACAATCTTAGCGATATTAAACGTGGTGTACCTAACCCTCAATTTTGATATAGGTTGAATTGTTCGATGAATAATTGAATATGGGAAGCTGTCGCCCAATGAATTGATCCAATAAAAAGATCCAACAAAGAGACCGCTGTAGTAGAAATATCCGATTCGCGTTACTTATTTATATTTCTTCAGCGAAGACAAAACTTATCAACTATATATATTCTTACGTGCAATATGACCGGTCTCTGACTCTGTTTCTTTCTCGACGGCCGATATATTCCAATGTATGTCTTTTCACCTTGACAGCTCACGTCGGAAAGAAAGAGTTTCAATCGATATGACATTTGCACTCTATTGTGTTTTGTGTTTGCATATGGCAACACATTAATTGTAACATTTCCGTATTAGTACTTATACATTATTGGTGTGGTGAATATAATAACTATGAGCTCTAATTTCAAAAAAATCCATTCTTCACATAACAATTATTTGCCATTTTATCTTTAAAAAAAAATCAACATAACACTATATACTAAAAACAGTTGAGACTTCGGATAAATTGAGTTTTATGTCAATTTTTGTTCTATTTTGGTTAGTTGTCATTTGTGTGTACTTTTTAAAGTACAATATAATATAAAAATCAAATTTTATTCGATATTTGTCATCATTTTTACTTGACAAAATGTATTTTGTACACTACATAGCGATAACATTGGGTCCATTTGAGTGTCTGGTGACCTGAGTCACCGAGCCGATAAAGCATAGAATTCGTTGAATTCAAATCGACCAAAATTCAGTGACACAAAGTTACAAACTCATTCATCATAAATAACTCATTTTAGGTGAGGGAAACTTAGAATTACAACGATGATATAAAACATTGCGCAAAAAATACATAAGATGCATACAATGCCTGCAAAATCTTAAAAAAAAAATTAAATTTATGTTATATTTGAAAAGAACTGACGGATATTAGTGAATTATGAAGATATTAACTTACCGCCGTCTGATGTTGTATCGATTTGTGGCGGGACGGCAGTTTGCGTTACTATCGACGTAAATGCACATAGAACTGGAACTGATGTTACAACCTAGTAAAATAGCAAAACAAAATCACGAAATTTAGCCAATCATTATGATACTTCTGCATATTATATTTGGGTCTTCATATCTTCTTCATTGAATATAAGAAATGGTAGATTTACTCACATTTCCACGTGAATGTGCCGGTGCATACGACTGACTTCGATTTATTGTGACTTCGTTTTGAACATTGTGATTATCTAATATGAAATTGGAAGAAATTATTAGTAGTTAATGAGATGCAAACAGATTTTTTTGAAAAATAAATGTTTCTTCCATTCTTTTACTGGCAAATAGTCCCTGGCAAATTAGAAAATTTGATGTATTTTGTAAAAATTACCTGGCCTATTTTCATTGGGTGTAATTAGAATAAAAGTGGCATTGGGCTGTGAATTTGGCGGTTCACGTGAATTTTGAACTAACACAGGGTTCGGAAATAGGGTGTACTATAATGACAATTAAAACCAAATTATGTGTACAAATAGTTACATGTGGTACACTTATATTTACTCACATAGTCAGGTGGCGGTGTGGTTATATCTAATTCACTTCCATTTGAAACGCATTTTTGTTGGTTTTCTTCCCTGATGGGCATGATTTGGAAACTGTTAATTTCTAAACATGAAAATAAATCAACCCAATAAAATAAAAAGACGTTAAACTGTCTAACAAATGTAATATTTACCAAATAGCTATTATTGGCGAAAGGCTTCACTACATAAAATAATAAATTGTATTTAGACGGAGTTAATTTCAATTTGGTGTCACTCATTTATTGACTGTGGGAAATTGATTCATTTAAATAATGTTAATTTTTGACCTCATACTCTCCAGCAAGTCAATTTTGAGTATCTTATTGAAATCTGTACCATTTTTTTGTGCATAATTTGTGCGGATTTGTGCATGTATTTTTAGAATTTGTGCATAAAATGCTGGCGAGATATTTAGCTTTTTATTTTGAAGTGAATTTCAGTTTTGGGCGTAATTCACCATTCTTCTACGGCCAAAAAATCGGAAAAATTTCTAAATCGGTACAGGTTTCAATAAGATACTCAAAATTGACTTGCTGGAGAGTATGAGGTTAATTTTTGATAATGTACATCTCGGGTTAACGATTATTATTTTTTAAGCAACGTTTTCAGTCACCGTTTTTATAAGTCACGGTCAATGCCGAATCCTGAATTGATATTATTTGCGGAAAGTGATGCACGCTTCGCGGGATGAATCATACGCATGTTATATAATATTTCTTTAAATTACGCAAATTCCCGCAATATTCACATTCGATTTTTCTTCGTATTCTACGTAAATCACAGTATAATACATATCTCATTTCATTTTGTGATGATCACACTTAAACTCTAACTTTGAGAAGATTTCAATATTTAAAATTAAAGAAATAATATGGACTTGACCCAACCAATTACGTTGTTTTTGTTCATTACTTTGGAAATGGTTTTTCTTTTTCGTCACTTCACAGCTCTTTGACTACAGAAAATAGTTTATCATATCCAATTCAGTAAAGCAACTCCCTATTCAAACGCAAACTTTTACTCTCTTACCTTTCTCAACTGAGTTCACTTTTGACTAGGGGATATCCATGCGAATTAGAATTAGCACATTAGCAAAAAAATAGGGAAATTTACATGAAGAAAATAGCAAAATTAGCAATAAATAGCAGAATTAGCACTGTACACGTATATACTTTAGTAAGCATTTATTCTTGAATATATTGAAATAATTAATTAAAATGAAATTCACAAAACAAACGAATTGAATAGTGTTGAACTAAAATGTATCAAAATATGTAGTTAAATACGCTTTTTCTTATTTTTAAATAAAAATATATTCAATGGCACGTAACCAAGCACGTTTCATCTGTATTAACTACAATTTACGAATTGCAATCGGAAATGTAGATTTGATGACAGATTTCTTACTGAAAACGTATACGCTAGTGCCTGCTTCAAATATACACGTTGAAAGTGTCAACTTGAAACATTTACGTAAACACATTTCAGTTATTCGATCATGCTGTCAATCTGACGTATGCAATATTTTTGACGTACTAGAGAAATTAGCAAAGAATAGCAGTATTAGAACAAACTAGTAGAAATACTAGCAGAATTAGTGAAAAATAGAGAGAAATAGCGTTTATTATTATAAATTATTCGATCTGCAATTCACGGTTATCCCCTAGACTTTTGACACTCAATGATGTTTCCACTAACGTTTTTATTAAATGTTTTTCGCACCAGATGATCTAAAAATATACATCAAATCACATATTTTTTGTGTGCATATACATAAGAACGTATAAACCGATATACGCTCTTTGTTGATATGTAAAATAGGTTTGAATGGTTGTAGAGCCTGACTCAACGATATTGCATTCACTACATTTATATGAAAGTGAGTCGGCCTATTCCTGGCGGAAATTGACAGAAGTAAAATGTAAAGTAATCTGACTTAGAGGACATTTTGGTGTACTAGCCAGAGAATCATTCATCGAATCGCCTATTCCCAAAAGAAAAAGAAAGTTGAATTGATTGTAAACCGGAGAATGTATGAATTTACACAAAAACACATATAATATCCAGATGAAAACAACTACGTTTTATATTGAGCAATATTTTAATCTAAATTCCATTGAAATCAGTTTTTATGACTGATAAGAGAGTGAATGTTTCGCAAGATTGAAGCGGTTTGGATAAAAAATAGATTTCAAATTAAATTACGACTGTTTTGTTTGTAAACACACAGAAAGAAAATATCAGCCGACGCTATACGTAAAACCGACTGGTACGAGTGCTCATACGTTTTTGCATCTTTTACATCTATTACCATATGATTTTTCGACTGTGCGAAGATACGCACAAAGAGTAACGAATCAGTCGAAAAGATGAAAAAACGTATGAGCGCACGTGCCAGTCGGTTTTGCGTATAGTGTCGGCTGATATTTTTTTACTGTGCATACTGATTTGCAAACAAAGCAAAAGTCATGGTTTCGCGACACAGATTACTTAAACAAAGTTGAATAAATTCAATGCATTACATGCATTAATGCGTGAAACAATCAAAGTACTCACTAAAAATTACTTTGTTTCGAAAATTGAGTTTTTGTTTATAAATGTGGTTTTTCTTTTTCGCTAGGGGCTTTTATGATACAAAATATACACAAATATTCACAATATACGCGTCTTATTCATCATATATGCGAATATATACGGCATAAATCTGCACCGAATAATACGTATTTTATACTGACATTGTAAACACACATTGTATAGCTTCACAGAATCGAAGAAAGACTGCACAAAAGAGAATGAAAAAATACGCCATACAAGAAATATATACGAAATATATGCAAAATATACGCCAAATATGTGCAGTTATACACATTTATTTGCGCATATTCTAGATATGCGGCATTACATTTCAATATTTGCCTTAAAAGTAGTATACGTTTGAACATAAAACTTCACATCAAATCCCTATCCAAACGCAAACTTTTACTCTCTCTTACCTTTTTCGACTGAGTTCACTGTTGACACTCAATGCTGTTTCCACTAAGGTTTCTATTGAATGTTTTTCGTACCAGATGATCCAAAAATATACATTAGAGCAAGACTCAAAGATATTGCAGTCACTAGATTTATATAAAAGTGAATTCTGTTTTGATCTTCGTCATATTTACTATGAACGTTTTCCGCGTTGGATTTAAATTAAATTGAAGGTAGTTACAACTTTGTTCTTCAATTCAAAGAAGTTAGTAAGTAAGAAAAAAGTGAAAATTGAGTGTTTGGCATGCTCAGTTTAGCAGATTAATAATTATTTTATTGAAATTCAATTGGGAAAAGGAAACAAAACGAATCGAACTATTACAATTAAAGATGTTGATGTTATCTAACGCAAAAAACCT